AATGAGGGATATTGCACTAATCAAGGTATAAAAATAAAAAAAAAATATTTTATTTGAAAATTTCTCTTCATAGCCTTTATGACTCGAGTTATTAAACTTGTAAGGGTAAAACTTGTTGCCCTAAAATCAACTGGTTTGAGAGTCATCGGTCCAAAACTCGTTAAAGGGGTCATTTATAAAGCTTAAGGGAGAGAATGCTGCAAGTAAAAAAAATGTTGAAATGAAAAGTGAGAAATAAAATATAAAAAGCAAGTGCATGAAATAGAAGATGCACTGAATGCCTTGATTAGGTCTCAAACACTTGTTTAAGAAAATTGACTTTTGATGAGGGATTATTAGCCTAATTGAGTTCTAAAGATTGAAATAATCAAATTATAGAGAATCCTTGTTTATTGATATATTGACGTGCAATTAGTGAGATTTACCTAAACTAGAGAAATAAGGATAATGCTAAAATTCAACCTTAGGTCACACACTTGAAAAGAGCGAAAAGAATAAATTTGGGGATGTGTGAATCCTACGAGTGATGAAAGGACATATTTGACCATTAAGGGCTGGGAATTAAAACTACTTATGAATTCATGATGCTATGCTTAATCCTCCACACATACAAGTCAATTTTACATTGGAAAAGTAGATTTTAATTTATGTATTGTGATTTTGAAGCTGTGCATAGATTTGATTTTATGATTTCAATCCCGAGACAAAAAGTTGGGTTAGTTAGCTAAATCCTTTTACATTGCTTGATTGACTGACCACAATTAGGTAATTAGTACCGTGTGTTTGTGTATTTGTTGGGTTTTAGTTTTGTTTGAAGACAAACAAAGATTCAAATTTGGGGGTTTGATAAGTGTAGTTTCTACACTTTTTTGGGATCCTAAATGATGATATTTTGTTATTTTTTGAAATGATTAGTTTCTAATTTGTTGTTTATTTCTTTTATCAGGAAAAGTTCATGTTTCAAAGAAGAATTGGAAAAAAAGAACGAAAAATGGCTAAAATAAAGCAACTTCAAAGTATGGGGACCAAAGTATAAATATCTAATGGTTGATTTGGACCACAAAAGATACTTTGAAAATTGATAGGAGTCAATTGAATGCAAATTGGAGTTAAAAAAAAAATGGGGATATGGTCAAAGCATTACCATAGATCGACTTCTAATCATATAAGATATCTTCAAAATTTTTGGTCAACTTGAGACCCATTTTTCAGATGGAGAATGTTTGAATTGGAAAAATTTTATTTCTATAATAATTGTAGTTTTTTAAACTAACTTTCCAATGCACTTTGAATCACCCAAATCGGATACTAAAAGAGAAAGTTATAACCAAAATATTGAAAACTATGTAGAGACGAAATTATGTACGCGCGAAAACAACTTTCCTTATTTGATTCAAACTCTTTTGGAAAGACAATTTGGACGTGAATTTTGACCTAATTTCATCATATAAATACAAGATATGGACAGCAATGAAAGGGTCTCTCTCTTGCCTCTTCATACACAATAGTTTCATCAAATTCATCAAGAACAAAAGGCTAATTACTATATTTTGAGAGAGAAGATCAAACTATAGCCAGGAATTGGAGTTCAATTACATCAAAATTTTGAAAAATTCAATTTTAGACTTGAAGATCAACATCTTTTGTATTCTTTCATGATCCGGATGATATTTTTCTAGTATCCTTCTTGTAATTTATATATTAATATGTTAGGCTAGTTTCTCATTGTATTGGATGAATGATGAACCATATTGTTTGTTTATTTTAATTCAAGACAATTAATTTAGTACTTCATGATTTTTTCTTGATTGATTTTGCATTCCCATTGAACTATTTAATTACTTGATCACCAATTAGATAGTGAGTTGCTTGTTATAGTGTAAGAATACTCACAATAAGTTTAGAACGCGGTAAAATCAACACATGGACAATAGTTGTTAAGAATAATATCTATGACATGTGCAATTATGTGTGATAAATTCTGTGAATCAATGCATGTTTTTCATATGAATTCAGACTAGAAATAAGATCGGATCGTGTTAAACATAGGTTTAATATATCTTGGACAAGAATATTGAATAAAAGTGAATTATCGATTGTCTTGAATGCATGAATTTACTAAATTATAAATTAAGAGTTAAATTAAATGGCAATAGGGGGATTCACAATTTCAATACAAATATTCACATATTAAATAAATATTTTATTTGCTTTCTTAGTTTAAGATTAGCATAGAAAACATACAAATCACAATTTTTTTTATTTTATATTACTTCGAATTCAGTAAAAGTTACTTAACTAAATATTAGATCTTATTCCTCGTGGGAACAATACTCTGAACTCACAAATCTTATTACTTGTACAACGATCCTATACGCTTGTGGGTTTCACACGAACACTGTCCCTAAAACCTAAAAAGTAATGGCTTTCCTCTGTTTAGAATTTTTAATATTTTCTCCTCATTTTCTTATATGCTATGTACATTTGTTAGAAGAGTAATGTTACTCATCATCATTGACGTCAAGCACCTGTCTAGATAGCAACTGTATGCCATTAGATGATAGATCCACTTAAGTTCCTTGTTACATAATTCATTTAATTGAATTTGTTAAGTATAGCCACCTAAACTAGTGCTAGATAACATTTTTGTTTAGAATGCTTATCCATCATATTCATGTTAGGATTTAGGATCAATAGGATGTGATTTTCTTGTTTTAGGGTTACAACTGACAGTGTAACATGATTCATTGTACGATCCAATAAGAACCAAACATGTGGTTTAAAAATCTGTTGTTTAGCTTTGTTCTCTGTTTTATGTGTGCATATTGACTGAAGTACAAGTGGACAATGCTTATTTAAGTTGAACCTAAACTCTCACAGGATGATGCAAGTGAGAGCGAGAACTTCCGGGCATTGGTAGCCTAAATCTGGGGTAACATGTACATTTGGTCAATGAATATATGATAAAATTTTAAGTTGGCTACTTGGCTACTAAAGTTTAATTTATTTCAAATTAGTTACTAAAGTTATAAATTAGTCATTACATCAATAATACCCGGGTGTTAGTCCAGTTCCATGTAGAGAGATCAAGGGTCTATTTGATTACTAAAGTTACCATGGAAATTCCAAGTTTGCTATGATGATTACCGCTTAATTCATCCAAAAGAAACCTGTATCGATCTAGGATCAAGAGACTTAGGAACAAAATAGTTGTTATATGTTATCGACACTTGTGTTTCAATATCTTCAAATAATAAAATTACTAATGCATGATATAATATTGTGAAGGTATCATAATCATAGCGGAAGTAATTATCAAGTATGAAATTTTTATCGGCGGTAGTGGGAGAGTTAAAGTATCTCAAAAGTTTATATAAAACGATGTGTGACTTAATTATAAACGTAGAAAGTTAAAGGCTAAGAAATGATTTTTTTTTTTAATTTTTTTTTTTTAAGTTTCTAAAGATCAAGGTGAAAATACTAAAAGTTATGCTTTTGACTGAGAAAATGTTAATTTCATGCTGATAGAGGAAAAATGCGATCATTGATTACTAGTAAGTAGTAACTGATTTGGCTTCATTAGCGACTTTCGAGAAAAATAGCTTTTGCAAATTTTAAGTTCATGGACTAAATAGTGACTTTTAGAGGCTAAATGCATCACATCTGTGTTGGAGGGTAGATTTTGTTGACCTCGTGAATTGGACATTTCATGTGGTCAATCGAAAACTGCTCCACATGTTCCTCCTTACGCACATTAGCAAACGATCGGCATATATGATCGGTACCAGCGGTGGTGTGGTGGTGATGGTGGTGCGCAATACTCAAGGGGGAAGGAAAAAAATGTGATTGCTTGGTTATGGAATGCTTACCTTGTCTCTGGTCAAGTCCTTGGTATTTATAGACAAAGGGTATCGCTAGATATGAGACACTTGTATTCATCTGACGGTGTGAGGTGTCAATCGGTTGCTTCTCAGATGGGCAGGCAATAATTTTTCTAATTATGAATTAACATATGGCCGAGATGTCACATCAATCAATCTTTAAAAATATAGAGACTCTTGATCAAAAGATCCATTTGTGAAACTGGAGCAGAGAGGTACTTCTCCTCTTCTTCGTCACATAACACCTCTATCGACCTCACGCTTCAGAAGCAACGCCTCGGAACATGTAGACACTTAAGAATATATCACTTAGATGATATCGCGCCTCAGACAGCGTCGCTTAGTTGACATCATTCAGGCCCTGAAACGCCGTAAAAATCAATAACTAGTCTGATTGTGCTGAATGACAACTTCATACCCTCTCGTTGTATCTTAAACAAGAGTAGATCAACCAAATGGACACATCCATGGCGAGCCAACTTGGTAATCATCTTCGATATGGTGTAGATATCGTGAGTAATTCCTGGCTGATATGTCACCCAGCTGAAGAACTGCCAAGCTATTTCAGCTGATTTGAAACTCCTAATAAATTTACAAACCAACCGAGTCGTCGAGTTTGCATTTTTCCAGAGGAAACACCTCCTCATATCTTCAATGCTGCAAGGCACCAGCCAAAGCAGCAGGGTCCAACCATGGTTTCAAGTGGGCATTTTTAAACCATTCAAAACCAATGCCCAAAAAAATTAGCAAGCACCGAATTTTCCAATCCCTCGACAGTGCCATCCAAATAAATAAAAAAATTTAACTAAAAAATAATAAAATAATAATAAAAAAAAAAACCTCCTGAGCTGGCTCTTAAGGAGGTTAAGTAACACAACTCCAATATATAACTTGGTGCAAAAAATTCATAAATTAATTAAAAGTGTCTAGAAAATAACAGCCGAGCGAGATGGCAAGTAACTCAGGCAGCTGCACCGACAAAAACCTGTCGGAGAAAAAGATAATCTAAGATCATTTCCAATCTTGCACCAAAATACCAAAAATTGGGACCAGATCTTGCACCAAAAATGGTGCAATGGGATATGGATTGGAGATGCTCTTATCAAAGCCAAAAACAGATAATTCAAAACCACGTAAGTAACATTCATCTAAAATAAGTTGCTTCATTACAATGATGCATCCAGCTTAGTAGGGTTTCTCTCCAATTACATTTCCAGGTGGATTATAAAAACATATTGTTAAACTAGCTTGTTCTTTACTACATGAAGCTTGTGCACACCCTACTTCCACTGATTTCTTCCACACCACCTGCGTGTAAACGCCGCAACGGTGGTCCGGCGCACAAGAATTGTCTGCATAAGTGTAGAACTTCTTCTCCGCCACCCATGTCGCCACTGCAGCCCGTGGCGTTACGGCCATACCACCAGCCCACAACTGGTTGCCGCCGTAGATGCTTTTGGTCAAGTTTGCAAAAGTGCAGTTTTGTCTGTCCCTTTGGTACCTGACCTGGAGGCTGGCAGTTTTGGCTAGCTGCTGGCTCCACTTGAGAGGAGCAACACCCACTTCCGCCCTTGCTTGGTTGTGTGCATCGAGGTACTCTTGGGCGGCGGTCGATGGCGCTGCCGCTGGAGGGGTGGCGCTTTTCGGTGGCGATGGTGGTTGTACAACTTGGGCTGAACAGTAACACGAGGATAAAGCAATCATTACCAGCAGGAGTTTGGCCATCATTTTTCAGCTGTAGTATTTTGGAGGGTTAATTTGGTGGCTGCTATATGAGAAGTGCAAATTTATATATAGATGCGTCACTATATTTGTTTTCTATGGGTAAAAACAGATCATCGGGTAAAATTTCAAGTTGACTATCAAAGTTTTAATTGTTCCAAGTCAGTCACTAAAATTTTTATTTTGTACTAAATTAGGCATTCTGCCACTATAAATCCCTATTTGATAGAAATTAAAATTAAGATTTTAAATTTAAATCAAAATTAATAACAAATTTTAACCATACATTTTATGAAATACACAAATTTTTAATTACACATTTCATTAACTTTTATCAAAATTTACTAAAAATCCGAGTTTTAATATTCACCGAGCTGAAGCCAAATAAATTGTGTACAAACGACACGTTAGTTTGATTTTGACCGTAAATTTAGGCTATTCTTTATTGTATGGGGAAGTAGTACTTCCTCATTTATTGCTTTCATTTATTACATTCATTTGTTGCATCACTGCTTTTTGGAGGTCAGGTTCATGCCCCCCTCCTTCCGTGTATTCTTGATTTTTATGAAATAAATATGGTTGGGGAACCCTTAACCCCCATCGACCTTCCTTGGTGGACCCTAAAAAGTCACTAAGGATGTGTGGATGTCTTTACCAAAAAAAAAAAAAAAAAAAAAAAAAACCTCCATTCACTGTAATCGCGCTTAAGGTCATTGAGCTGCGCAAAAGAAAGGGAGTAATTCACTTCTCAAAATATACCAAATTTTTTGTCTACAAGCTTATACGTCGTTGTCGATGGAGGTGTGCAATGATGCTGTGGACGGAGTCTGAGTCAAGCCGAATTCGAAGAGATCATGAATAATTTGGATTTGGTGCAAAATTGAAACTTTCTTGATTGATTTAAATCGTATATAAACAACTCTCAAAACATATTTTTAATCTGACTAATGTTATTTAGCTCTACTGGGGTTGCAATCCCTGACTTATTTAATTTTATCTTTCATTTAATCTATTATCTTGCGTAATTTTGACTAAAATTGCAATCCCACATTATTCTTTTAACTTTGATAAACAACATAAAATCTAACATGATAACCAGTTTATATTTACAAAAATGATTTGACTTTTTAACCTTTGTGTTTTTACGCCATTAATTGATTGAACTTAAAGTCAAACAAATTAAAGCATAAAAATATCCTTCCCAGTAAAAAATTATAATTGAAGAAAGAGAGAGGGAGATTTTTTTTTTTTAAAACAGGAGTCGAGCACGTGACCATGCTGACTTCTACGGGAAAAACAAGAAATATTGTCCCATATATTAAATGAGCCCACGTGAGCGGTGACATGCTTTTATGATCGCGCACGTGAAACTGACTTTACTCTTCCCTGCCCCAATTTACTGTCAAACCCAAAATTGTTCATTGAAAATGCTACTTGATTTTACTAAATTAAGAAGTTAAATTAGGCAAATAAAATGAATTTCCTGATTTATAGAATGCAGAGATTGTGATCTCTCAAGCTAGTTTAACTTTCTCTCTCTTTTTTGTCCAAAATGATACGAGATCTTACCACATGATAAATCAAGTGGTACAAGTAGCATTTCATATTGCCCGTATGGTAAAAGTTCCCAACGAATTACTAGTTATTCAGAAATTGTTCGATATTGATTTAAATTTAAGTCAAAGTCAATAATTAATTTTAAATACACATTTACAAAATTCACAAATTTTCAATCACACATTTCATCAAATTTTATCAAAATCTACTAAAAAACCTGATTTTGAATGCATAAGTGCATGTCCTCATTACTTGAAGTTCTAACAAGATAAATAATGTACAAAACTGAAATTATTAAGAATTGTCAATACTACTAACTAAATTGACATTTCCAGTAGAAATTTAATCAGCATCACCACCCAACAGTGTAGTGTTTGCAAAGAGATTGTATCCCCTCTAAATACATCTCTGGAGGCGCCCTGCGAATAACTTCTTTTAGAAATACCTGCATAAAAGTCCTCAAAATCGTACTCCCCTTGAGCTTAAGCTCATTCCAAGCTTGAAACATTTCCGGAAAGCTCATCGAAAACATCGTAGCGCCCTCAAACCAATGTTGAAATTCTTAAAAACCAGACATCAGTCTGTGGTACAGCTCACCAGTACTCAAGAAACTTGGGTATTTGCTACATTTGGCATCTGATTGGTTTCCAAGATTTACAGACAAGCAAAATAATTTTATGATCACAGCAAGCAGTCCCTGAAGAATGCATAACTCCCATGTATTTTACGTGCGCAAAGTAATTCCACAACCATATGCCACTTCCAATCTACAAAACTTGAGAAACCGAAATAGATGCTCAAAACAGTTACAGGGTGTACTTGCAGAAAATAAGTATAGTTACAAATTATAGACAAATTAGAACTGTGGTGTACAGATGGAATGTGCGAAACACAGGCATAAACAGCTGAACACATTGATAAACAAAAGGAAGCTATGGTGCAAAGAAAGGCAGCTGGAGCTATGATCTGACAAACCTTATTATCTTACTATCACATTTAACAAATTCATCCATTCCATTCACGAGTTTTTGAGCAATTGAGGACAAATCCCAATTTTTCTTTGAAAGAGTGATAAATAGTTCAGTATCTTAAAAGCCTGAGTTCATGATTGTCCTCATAATATGGAATTTATGATTCTGATGAAAGGCGCGTATCACTCAAATAAATCTCGACTCTCAGTAGTTTGGTTAGAGTTTACAAAAAAAAAAATTATCTACCCATCATTGTACAAAATAGATCTAAATTATGATTAAGATCTCCAAAGTGGCCGAAACCCTTTCCAATGGAGAAAAGCAAAGGAAATACAAATTGCATTTTCCCATTGAGCAAAATTTAAATATAGATCCACAGGAATATAAATGAGGATGCAAAAGTTGTTTTGGAGATACCGTCTTTTCGAAGTTAACTCTATATCCGTCTAGAGCGACTTCCGTCTAACTTTTTATACAATCAATTAAATTTTAGTACCACATGTGGATCCTCTTCTAGTTTTCAATGACTTGTTTTAAATGTTCACATCCAGCATCTATTGTGTTTATTTTAATTTAATTCAATTTTTTTTTATTTTTTTTATTTTTTTTTTTATTTTTATTTTTTTGAGATTTCACCACCAAAAAGGAAATTGGGATAGTGAAAAAAGTTCCTTCTTCTATTCATCCTATTCTAAGGTATTGATCATTGATACTGACAAATAGTTTTCATGTTTTTTTCTTGAGCCAACTCATGATCTAAACAACATTTGTATGCTCAACAATTGCGAAGGTTGCGGGAAGTATTAATTGGGCGGAGAATGAATTTAAACCAACTCTCTCATTTACATCATGATCTTGCATCAATCTCTCAACTCTATCTAATGTGGCTCTGAAGCTTTGAAACCTACGGAGAAACTCTAGCAAGCATGAGCTCATTATTTTTGTCACTATATTTTCAGAAAAATTACAATCACAACTCAATAATGCAAACGTTTTCCATTTTTGTACGTATAAACATTTTCAATTTCAAACAATTCCTTTCTAAGGTTAGGTCACTTCAAACTGAAGAACTAAGATACTCTCTACCTTTCAGAACATCACAGTAATACCTGTTAACAAAGCAACCCCCAGGTAGTCATTACTGACTTGTCAGTTGCCCCCTTAACTCACAATACGCCTTACAAAAACACATAAATGTTTCGGCTTTAGAGGACATTATTGTGATTGACATCTAAGCATCTTCCCTTGTCTCTGTCCTCCAAATCTTTATGTTAAGACCAGAGTACATGATGCTGGTGATTTTTTTTATTATTAAGACTGCAATTGCTGCACAGCTCGTTTTTGAACTGTGATCAGCAGGTTTAAGAAAACCCAACCAAACTTGACCCATAGATTAATATAAGTAACCCAACCCATAAAATTGCAGATGGATTTAGGTCATTTTAACGAGTACCAGATTGCCACCTGTGTAGATTAATATAAAGTAACCCAACCCATAAAATTGCAGATGGATTTAGGTCATTTTAACCAGTACCAGATTGCCACCTGTAATTTACAATACACTAACAGCACAACAAAATTCAAAATAATGAAATAAAGCTTAATTGCAATTGAAACGTTGAATAATAACCAGAATATCCCTGCAGCATTCTGTAGTTGAGAACAAGGTCTTCAGGTTTCTTCCATACATAAGCCCGGACAGTGGCTAAGCTCATGTCAGGAGGTAGCACCTGGGGAATGACCAGAGAAGATCAGTACTTACAGATAAACAAAATGATTCCTCTTTATATCATTTAAGATGTGAGAGGAAGAGGGCGGCACTCAAACATATTTTGTTCCATAAAACAGATATCTAGATTTGGAAAAGGTTCAATGATAATCATGGACCTCATAAACCTTATTAATGCAAGATTAACATTTATAACAACTGAAGGGGGCTATAAAAGAAGGGTCAAAAGGAAATAGAAATGCAATAGAGAGGGAGCACCATAAAAGATTAAATTTGTATTTGGGGTGCCGTAACTTTCGCTAAATTTAATTCAATAGAAACATTTGAGATTTTGTCAACTGCAGGCACCACTTGCTTCAGGTGCTTCTCAAGAAATTATACCTGTGCAGTAGCCATAGGCAAAGATAAAATATTATTTTTAACAATGAGAGAATAATGGATACTGAATGTCTATAACACTTTAAAATTGCCATTTCATGTTTCAAGTATCCAATTAAAGAGCTTGTTTAAGTTTTGACCATTTCAATATGCACGTCTTAGAAAATGGTTCAGTTGTATAACAATTCTGAATATATTTTTTCCATTTTTTATCTATAAATGGAACATTTTCCTCCCAGCATACAAACAGAACCGATAGTATGGAACATGTGAATTTCTCTTTAAATTTATAAATGAGCTTCATTATCACAATCAACTCTGCCGAACTTACCTGGTTATTACACAAGATTTCAATGGAAGGCTTGAGATTTTGCCGAGGTTTGAGTCCAGGTAGGAGAGAAGTATCTCCATCTAGGGGTGGAATCTGACCTCCTGACATCCCTGGAGCAAAGGTTTCATCGACATTCATACTATCTGCTGGCTTATCAAGAACCATCTTTTCTATGACATAGTTGACAACCTACAAAAATAAAATTCAACCTTACATTAAAGAACATCTGCTTGATTTCTAGTTGAGATAACAGTCCATAAAAACAAAAATATATGGCATAATGCAGGTGAAGAAAGCTGACATCCAAATCAATAAAGGTACCCTCCATGGCTTAACCATAAATCTCCATAACAGTTTATTATGGGGGAGAGCCAATATAGAAATCTTCAAGAGCCTCAAGCAAATAGAATCACAACACAGTCCTGATATCCTCCATTATTTAGTGGGAGATCAAAAAAGGAAGAAACTAGGTTGCTGTTTTTGAGGTATAATTGAGTCGATCATAATTCTCTGTAGGGACCTCACATCAAAAACTTGCAGAATTTTAAAATATATGAGCATGAGCTTTTGGGTGGGGCAACTAAAATAATGATCTTACATCATCACTACTCTGCCGAAGTTCTGTTCACATATAATTGGTGTATACAGAAACTATGTAAAAGGCCTATTGCTAACACCCCGTTCATGTCGAAAAGTTTAAAACACAAGAAGAGTGTAATTCAGTCATAAACAAAAATTCTTGAGCATATCTTTATTTTATTAGACAAAAAAGAAGAAGCAATAGTTGGTGTCCACTTTAAACAACAAATCACAACCATGGTGTGTGGACAATATCTTTTTTGCAGAGTTGACTAGAGTGCAGATAGGTGAGAAATATATAAAAGATGCTAATGAATTATTAAACTAGATTTTATCTAAAAACCCCTACCAAATTTCACTTGTCAAGCCAGAAATGACTGATGACTAAGCCCCTTTTCACATCCATTAAAATGAGGTTTTTGGGAAAAATAAGTTCTAGAATACTGGTTTTTTGGAGAATGTGTGATTAAAAAGTAAAAAAAATTTTGAATTTACGTGCAAATATTTTATGAGAAAAAAAGAGTTTTGATCTAATGAATGCCAAACAGGGGCTAAATATATGTAATATCAAAAAATAATTAATAATTAAGGAAGTAAAATATGTTTTTGATATTTTAAACAAAGATATGAGATAAATAACATGACCTAAAATTTGAGAAAAAAATTTATAATACTTTGTTTCCGACTTTTATAACACGGAATATGTTCTTTCTGTTAAATTCAATAGCTTGTTCACAACGACCTTAAGATACAAGAATAATACAATTTTCTTAATTAATGAAATATATTTTAAATTCCTTCATGAATAGATATTAAACAGGGAGTGGGGAGGGAGAGAGAGAGTGTGTGATTCTGTGCACGTGTTATATTTACATAAGGTATATGCATAACTTTGCAACAAGAAACATTGAAAGCATAACAAAAAGCAATCAACCAAATAACATTAACTATTTACCAAAAAAAATACTTTCTATGAACGATATTATCAACAATTTTGCTTATCTTATCAAATCTTCAATACTTGTAACAATAATCTTTGCTTAAAGAAATAAGTGATACGTAAATGTTGTTAGTATGTGTTTTATTTTTACAACAAATATTTAGAAGAAGATAAGCCATGAGTGCAATTTATATTTCATTTCCTAGTTATTATTTATAGAATAATATTACTTGAAAGATTAACCAATTCTAACTTCTAGTTATAGGTTTTTGCTGATTACTCCCATTTAATTTACAAGTAGCCTCAAAACCTCTTCCAATTTGGCAATCTTGACAACTTTCTGAACGATTGATGGAACAGTCAGGGCAGTATAAGCTTAAAAAACTGTTACAAATGGACCTATATACCACCGAACTCATTTACACAAAGGTGAACCTAATAAGGGACTGAATGACTGAGATCAACCCTATAATCAATGCTGTCAACACCGAAAATTAAATGTTTCAGTACTAGGTGTACTAGGTGTACACAAAGTAGTCTAAGCCTACAATGTTACAGTTCTTACTTTATGGATTCTCAAAATTCGAGGGGCGCTAAGTTTTCCTTGCTTAATGATCTGTAAAGTAGAACCTTCACATGGGTGCAAATAGAAGCTGCATCTGTAGACATTGAGAAAATTTACATGTAACGGACGAAAATAGGTCTTCATAGACAATGAACTACAGGGCATATAAAAACAAGTGCACGTCCAAATACACACACACAAACAGAAAGAGAGAGAGAGAGACTGCTGAAAGAATTCAAAATAAAAATATGAGAATGAAAAAAAGATTCAGATAAAAGAATTTAAGAGGGACAAAATCCAACATATAACAAACAAAAGCAACATATAAACTTACTCGAAAATTTCAGTTTCCACACAGAGACTTTAATGCTCAATGAGGAGCAAATAATGAACTTAAGAGGAAACTAAGATGGTATTTGAAAGTTGTCCATGATTTTCGACACATTTTGTGGATGCCTCCCAGAATTCTTACATATCGAGTTCAATAATTGCAAAGTTCTAGAAACATTCAGATCAAAAGAAATTTTATGAATTTAGGGAAGTCTTCATGTATATTACTTGGTATTTTCCCTGGGGGGAAGGCGATTATACAACACACAGTCAAGAACCCACCACGGAAAATCTTTCTCATCTTCAGTTCCATATAGTTCGGTAATTTTCTTTCTCCATGGACCTCCGTGAGAGCCCTCTGTAATAACAGGAGGAGGGGAAGCTGCTGAAAATTCAAATGGTGGATGCACTGTGGAATCATTTTCTGCATTACCATCAACATCAACTCTAGATAAGGATATAGTCCTTGTGGACATATCCTTCCCAGACAGAATTCCTCCATTTGGTGAAGCTTGAGATCCAAATCTTTGCTTTCTTTTTGTTAACCAACAGGCCAACAGGCCTTTAAGGGTTTCGTGTGCCAAATTAACCTACATAATCATATGGGTCAACTACAGTTATTTTATATTAAAGCAAACAGAAACATATCTAAACTATAAAAGCTTAACAAAATATTCAGCCTAAAATTACATACCAATTTTCATTTCAAGTCAAGTAAATACTTCGAAAAGTTACAACTAGTTTGTGGAATCCAAAACCTGACAACTAAATGAATGCAAGGCGCAACTGAAGCAAATGCTACCACCAGCCTAGAATAAATAGGCCAAACATAAATTTGAAATTTGAAAGTTAACATACTAAACCATACAAGTATAGACAGGTGTACTTGGAAATTTGAGGGTACCTAAACCTCAAAGGAAGTACATACAGTACTACTAAACATAGATTTCAGACAAACAATTCAATAGGAAAGACAAGTTTTACATGGAGCAATCAAAGATGATCCAATTGTTGATACCTTGTCATCCTCAGGTTTCCCAGCAATGTTGAGATCAGCAGAATACATTTCAGCAGAAAAGCATTGTGGCATTTCTAAATTCACTGACAAACTTCCAAACCTACTATCCACAGAGTACCACGAAGGAATGCTTACCTAAATCAGAAAAATAGGTCATAACAATGCTAAGAAAAATATTGTTGGACATAGCCATTATCAGGTAGTGATCCTCACCATCTCAAATAGGTCTTCCTTTTTCTGCTCAAATGAAACCTAAAACAGCAAAATAAAATAAGTTAAAACAGATAGCAAGAATATACAGGATGTCCTGAGTACATGTTATATTATAAAGCATGTTGTCAACCAATCGTGGTGCTACCCACTCCCACTTCCCAGAGACAGTCATGAATTTGGAAATAATTAGCTTATTTATACTCTAATGGCAGCATTCAGAAATACACTACTAACCTCTCCATAGTTTTCAATCACCACACCCCTTGTGATTTCCCATAACTTCACTGAGCCCGTAGCGTCCTAGGAGATGCACAATCCAGATATCAGTTGAAATAACCTAATTCCCAAGCAGTAAAACAAGAAGCATGGGAAATCAAGGGAAAAAGAAATTATGTATTTGCTAACAAAAGGCAACAAGATGATTTTACCTTAGTTAGGACATGTCTTTTATTGTTTAAAATCTCATGCTGCACAATTCCAGGAATTCCAGGAATGCTCAAGGATGGTTCTCTATAAACAGGAACCTGCACCATCATCAATTGTCAGTAGCATCAGTTTGCAAATTATTCTCCCAACCTCTATAAAGGAAAATGACCAAACAAAAGAAAACGATGGACAAGAAAGCCAACTTCATAAAATATGAATCTTAAATGGATATAACTAAATGTTTTTCAATAGTAACTTAAGTTCACTTGAAAACCTAACAGAAAGGAACAATTCAGAAGACAGCTCATGCATGTGGACAACGGCTATTTTTTTCATTAATTTTGACTCAAGCACCTTTATTCTTATGTCCATTACAGATGCCATTTCATGGAACTCAGAAATCACGATTCCCACTACCCATTTCAATCTTCTTATTTTTTGCCTCCAACTAGGCTCCTCAATTAAATGTACTTCCTCCTCAACTCCCCATTTGGTCCTTCTATAAAGTTGAACTCCTCAACTTTAAAAGTTTCTTTTGAAGCTCAAAATTTCCAACTGTGTTCCAACTTCATGTGCAGCTGTGCTCAGAAATAATAACTTTTCAAAGAAATAAGGAAACCATGTGAATTTTTACTAAACCAACTAATCAATTCTATTGCAATATTTAGAAAATTCAAATTAAAATGTTCTTTTCAATTTCTCATTGGCAATATATAATCTACAAATCATAGACAGATAAAAAAACGTGTAGGTCTGTTTTCTATGTGATGTGTCTTCTGTTTATTTTTGTTATGTTGAGCATGCTTAACGGAAATTCTGTATTTTTAGAGCTTCATAGGAGAAATCATTGTTGCCCAAAATCATTTTCAACTGCACATTGTATGGGACAGATAACTTGTGAATTATAGAAGTTGGGAACTCGATGATCCTTAACTGCCCAATATTAGAGGACAAGATTGTGATGAAAACCATAATATCCTAACTAATTCTTTGACATCTAATTTATTGACTTCTGGTCCAAAGATATCCTATTCTACGTCTCTGTTGCTGACCGTTATAACTTGTCCATATTTTCATTGCAAAGAAAGAGCTCTTTCTGTCCAGATTTAGTCAATCAAAAAAAGGTAGGGCAAAGCTCTTAAGCAGAGAGAACTGGTTCAACTACAGACTTCTTACATTTATAATTGGACTAAAACTTCAAGATATAAATACAAAACTAGGGGTGAAGTAACTCACAGGTGTAGATCCCTCCAGCGAAACCCTTGCCCTGGAAAAGGACAAGTTCCCAGCCAAGAAAGAACCACCTTTTTGGAAAACTTTCAGGGGATTATGTGGTTCAGCTGGCCATCTATGTACAGAAGAATCTGATGTGGCAACCCATACACCATCATCATGCAATCCCAATTGCAAAATAGGATGTTCCTCAGTACAAAGTAGAACACTCTCTCTTGTTGACAAGTCTGTCAAATATAACTGAGTACAAACACAAAGCTTCAAAAAGATTGACAATGTAGTTATAATATGCGGAATGTTGATCTTCATATTGGTTGAGTTGTTAAATTCACTTACAGAAAGGTCTCTTCCACCACTATAAACATGGCTAAATGTTGGATTACTAGCAAGTGCCCAGATAGAATCTGTGTGCACAGCATAAGAATGCACACATCGCTGTTGACCAAGATCCCATAGCCTACCACAATTTAAGCACAAAAAGCCAAATACATAAAGAATAACAAACAATATTATCTGCGTAACCGCAAGATGCCACCTTCATATGTGTACAAACAAAGAAAACCAATTAAGAAATTGAAAAAGCACGGCATTTGCACAGGGGCATAATCACCTTTCTTGGAAGATAAAATGAGCCTGAACTACTGATCAAATACAGAGAACGTTTTATGCAAAAAAAAGAGCATTTAAATAACACCATCAAAAACTAGAACCAGGCACTAAACTGTTGAACAAAAATTCAAGCCTGGTCCAGTAATAATAATTTTCTAGGCACAATTTTGGTAAAGCAATCCCCAGAGAATAGTCATTCAGCGTGTATTTTTTAGTTTGTCAAAGCAATCGGAGTCTTTTAGATCTAACCATGATAACCAGTGTCAAACCATACACATCCCTAACGACTTTCAAAAAATTTCTCAGAGTATAATAAAACATGTTCCAAATCTTCTGCTGTTGGAATTCAATCATGATATCTTATTAATATAAAATTTCCTATAGGAAACAAAAACAAGAAGTTGCAGGGCAATGTTATATCTATCTGATGCTGACTCGCGTAGATGCTTTCATTGATAACTAGTCACTTGTAAGCATGCATGCATACCTGATCATAGAATCAGAAGATCCAGATAAGCAGAATCTGCAAATGAAAGAGGAAAAACATTAATATTTGCTTTGTTGAAAACAGGAGAACTTTGGATTCAAAGATCTACATTAGTAGACAAGATGCCCTCAAATAATTTTCCCTTTTTCTTTTTTTGGCGAGTGTGGGGTGGTGGGGGGTTTGCGATCCATCTAAGTAATATCAATAGGAATATGAGCTTCCCATTTTCCATTAAAAGTAGCAAAGTGTAGAACTCTCATATATTTTCTACATCTGTCCTGTAAACTGGAAAGGATGACCGACTAAAACAAATAGCCTGGACATTGTTGTCCCAGTCTAAACCTTCCCTCTTAAGCATGGTTTTTTGTTTAATATTAGTAGAAGAAATACCAGATATAATAAAGATCACAGAACTCAGAAATTAAATGTGCACTCAAAATTTAGAATAAAGTTAGAACTAGCATTTTTAAACACAATGTTTATGCATTTTTTCTAAATCCTTGAGGAATTATCAATATATTATCCTCTCAAATAAAAAACATCAACGATTTGGTAATTATATAGCTAAAACATGCAAGTCCACATTTCAGCTGAACATGAGCATTTAACCATCATTATATTTTCGTGAGCATTATAACTTCAATGTCAATCAAGGTCCATACGAAACCACAGCTAAACTAAAACACTGTACAACAAACCTTCCAGTTGAATCCAACAGCAGTGCTCTTATATTATCAGTGTGTCCTTTAAGCTTCATCGTCTTACAACCAGTTCTTGGGTCCCAGACACGCACAACCTATAAGATATAAAAAAATTGTAGCACAGTTATGAGGCAATCCAGAGATCATTTTATCATATGTAAATGGATAAGAACACAAAGATACATGCATTAACGACTCCTTTAGCACTACAGAAACCACTAGATTGAACAATTGAGAAAAAACTCATTACCAGAAAATACCTTCTCAGTTCCACCAGAAACAAGAAGTGTTCCCTGGTCATTTGCAGCCAATGCATAAACTGACTCTTTATGACCTTTTGCAGCAATGGGAACATATCCTTGAGACTGGGTAGCATTCTGAGAACTATTAATGCTTAACTTGATAGGTTGTAGACCGTTACAGGGTAAAGAAGATTCCAAACTGTTCACACTGTTTGAGCACTCATCTTCAGCTGCATCATTTGACTTGGAGAGGGGAGCAAGGGCAGCTTCAAGATCCCATATGAAAACCTCCCCACCAAGACCTCCAGAAGCAACAATATTGCTCTGTGATACAAAATAGAGTAAAACGATCATAAACTGATGTCAGGAAAACATACAAGGCAACAATATGCTCTTCGATACAAGATTCTGTAAAAGGTTACATTTTTTTCAGCTGCAGCAAGGCAAGTGACATAGTCAGAGTGCTGACGAAATGTCCTAGTACAAGTTCCATCAGACAAGAAATTCCATGCCTGATCATGTCAACCAAATAAAAACAAATGAGTATAAAAAATGATTTTGATATATATTGAGACATGAACACGGACATCACACAAACCTTAACAGTGGTATCTGAGGAACAGGAAACTAATGTGTTACCACCGGCAAGAACAGCATCATTTACCTGTATAGCCAAGAGATGCAAAAGTTAATGCCAAGATGTGCAAAACTATAACATAGAGAGCAGAATTAAAGGACAGAATTAAATAACAGTTTCTTGGAAACATGTCCTACAATAGATAATGAGCACCTCAATTTGATATTATAATATTTCTCGGGGTGTCAGTCAGGTAATTAAATGTGCTTAAATGGATATGAAGTTAGAAAGGATACTCATCAGTAAGCCCTCACAATGAAGCAATACATGAAACAGAAGTAATAGGATAGTCTAGAGATGGCTAGTATCATATTTTTGGCTGAAATCTATGATCTATCAGAACCAAAAGTACAGTTGAGAGGTATGGTGAAAGAAATGAAGACCAAAGTTTGTCAGAAAAGCCAGCTGAAAACATTAACCTCCAAAGGAAATATAGAGAGATGAAAAATGAGAAAAGCAAAGAACAGAATGAGTGTACCCAATCCACATGCGACTCAAATGTAGCTGACCATGCAGCAGCATCTTCAGCCAATGCCCATCTCTTTAACGTGCCATCACGGCTCCCAGTGAAGAGATAATCACACTCATCTTGTCCCAATGAATTCAGTAGAGACAGGCAGTTTATGCCTGCACAGTGCTGCAAATAGCGGAAATGCACAACAGAAGAGACGGCAAAGATTAGTATCCAATCAGCAGTAGCATATACATTGTATATGTGGTGATAAGTACTTCCATAGCCTTTGAGGACCACTTTTTTATTAGCAATGAAATGGGTCAACAAGAACATATGTAAATGAATCTCGACGCAAATAAATGTCATGTAAATGGGGGAACATAAAGCTAAGGCCTTTACAAGACCAAGTATCATTGGAAGTGGTCATTACTAAATTTACTTCTGCACAATCCATATCACATGCAAAAAATTCAAGTAACTGGGGCTTTTAAATTCTTACAAAAAGGACTGCACAAACTATTTCATTTCTCATCAAAAGACACATGTAATTAACTGTGTCTTACAGTCAAGATCTCTTAGAACTTAAAAATAGCAAAGAGATTCTACTTTCTTGTTTAGAGGAAGAAAAAAATAGAGATAACATTTCACTGCTGCACAGACACACTGACATACTATCATCATATGAAATATTAATAATGCTATACTTTTCTTCTCATTCGTGTCAAATATAGTGAAACCAAGTGCAACCCACTATCAACATGAAGTCAATAATGCAAGCAGGCATTCTAGTTCTATCAGTCTTCACAGATTTGGACATAACTGCAGTGAATAGAAGGTATCCCAAAAGTTCCATAAATGATTTAAAATAAGTTGATTCCCTCAAATGCCTAAGATTTGCATTTCCTCAAAACCCCAAAATAAGCGTACAAAATAGGGAAATGAAACAAATGCTATGATAGATACAATACAAGCTTATGAACAAGCATATAGGAAATGGAGCAAAATATCCCTGCTATCCACACCAAATGCAAGTGGTAAGCAGATTATTGGCAAATAGAAACAACATATGCTTTAACTGTTCTTTCGCATTCAAATTAATTGGTTGCTATGCATAGGAGTTACATATAGAAAAATGGAATCAGATACAATAATGAAAATGTTGCAATAAGAGATAATGGCACGTGTATATATGGAGGTCGAGGGAGAACTGGAAGGGAAGTATAAAACAATCAATATAATATTTATAGAGAAATTCTCCAGTAACTGAAGGTAAGAGAACGAAAGGTTTTTTTTTATCTGATTTGCTTTACCTTTTATTTTTCTTTGCCAGGGAAGCGTATGAAAGAAAGCACTCAAAAATTACATAGTGATCAATGAAGAATTTAAACAAAGAATCACCTTGGTATCATCTGCACCATTCAGCACATAAGTCAACTTCTTCTCTTTTCGAGGACGGAGCGAATTTGATGTGTTCCCTGCACTGCCCACTCGTTGCATCATAGAAATCCCTAGAGCAGAAGTAGACAAAATAATTACAATGTAACTGTATCTTGATCTTGACTTTGAGGATGGAACTTCTATTACCTTCACATATTAATTAAACAAAAGACTGCCAATTTCTTTTAGAGCAGAGGTATGAGTGATGAGGATCGAGGAAAATGCATAAGCCACCAACGCGGTCATTGATTCTTGGATGTGCATGTGCTTAAATATTTGATTATGTCATTCTTGCATTAAGAAAGGCAGTTGGTTGGACAGTTTGAGGCACAAAAAACCAAGACCTGGCTCTATGACATAGAATATATTTGTAATTGATGATGCTAAAAAACCAAGCATTTACTCTAGGTCCCCTTGATTATATTCCTTTCCTTTTCTTCCTTCCGGAAGATCCTTCACTTGACTTAAACCACATAAAATACACAGTAACTAAAAGATAATAGCATCGATGTACTAAAGAAGTCCTGAGCAGATAACAACTATCATAGGATTACACCCCAATTTAGCAGAATGTCCAAAATTATAAGATTGGTGGTGAGGATCATGCAGATAGGAATGTCAGAAGTACAACAGTATAGAACAGATAGCAACCTTATAAAAAGTCACATTCAACCAAGTGAATTTACTAAGCCACATCCAGCACCGCATCTAGAATCGAGCTCATGTAGAAATTAGTTCTAACCAAGTCAACTATGAACATGATGAACAACTAAGCCCTTGTTTGAGCGCCCTTTTTTGGATTCATAGATTTTGGAAGAGTGATTTTTGGAGAATGTGTGGTTAAAAAGTAGGGAAAGATTTTGAGTTTATGTGTAAAATTATTTTATTGAAAGAATGTAGGGTTTGAAATTAGTTTTGAGAAAAATGAGTTTTGGAAAAATGGGGTTCAAACAAGGGCTAAATAAATTATTTGACCTCTGAACAGTGATAAATACTTGGTAATTATATTCCCTGGCTCTCAAATAATTATATTATATACTTTTACTAAGAGTTTTACCATGATAATAAAATATGAACAATTTCTATGACTTATTTTGTAGACATCTTGTATCTAATATAAAGTAGATCATCAGATTCAAAAACTATACATTCATTATGCATTTCAAAATTCTAGAAAGACAACACCCACCTAAAGGCAGGAAGAGATATACTAACAAGTAACAATGTCACTCAGAACTGTTTATTCATTAAAAACACCAAACACTAACGTCTCTGATGGTAAATATCACCCACTTACATTAGAAAATTATAAAACTAACAAAGCTGAGGTCAAACTTCTTATATATCTAAAGATGGTCACCCTAAATTTAGAGCAACACGAAACCAAACTCTCTAATTTATCAAGTAGAAACTTTTACTTTATTCCATCTCTACAGTTCCACTAACAATGTCGATCCAACACCAGTCCATCCTTCCCTCTAACTTTTGATTGACGTTTGCAAGTACTACTCATTTGCCAGTCTTCATGAGCCAAATACGAAGCAACCGAAAAAGAAGAAACTAATCTAGAGATGAGCCACCTTCAAGGTAAAGGCCAACAATATGAAACATGAACACTATCACAAAATAAGTATATAAATAATAAAATCGGTATGTCAGATCTGTAAACTGCACGATTTGCCTGCAAACTGCTTCTTGAACTCTTCTGGAACAACAATTATTATCCAGCTCATAGTAAAGTTCCCTTTGCATCCTCTATATGTCTTTTTAATTTTTATCAAGTTTGCCAACCTTTCTTAGTGTAATCTGTCATCTCCTCCCGTCATCGTAATCAAATGAATTAGATAGAGTATATAAAAACAGCAAATGAAAGATTGTGAATTCACCCCAAATTTCTTATAACTGCCATTCGTGGTGAAGTTTCATTTTTCCTTTTCGTTACTTCATAACCATTTTCCCACCACAGTATAATTTTGTACCAGAAAGTGGAGGAAAAACAGATGCTCCAACATTCAATTTCAAATAATGGACTCATATGTACCTCAAACAGCAGACCTTGCTGTAAAATATCAGTCTCCAGTCCGTCAAATATATCCATGATTATTGTTATTGTCATCGGCATTAACATCATCTATTTTTACTTAAAGCATTTATGATATTCTCTCCGAGATTCAATTGGCATCTCACACTATAATTAATTCTATAAAAAGAAAGTATAAGTGAAACAGCTAAAATTTACATTTTCAAACCAAATATCTATTTTGATACATACTAAGAAAAAGTATTATATGCGTATACTGATGGTTATACCCTAGAAGTTCCACTATAAAGGAAATCAGAATCAATCCAAAATCAAATTTATGTACACTTATTCAACAAATTCCAGATAAATCAGAACAAATATTAAACTAGCTTTTTATCATTTTTTTCAACTGTGTGTTCTCGGATTTTATCAAGGTTTTCCCCCAGAATAATTGAAAAATGACTGGAATTACCAACAAGATACTTATTCGAGTTGAAAATAAGATCAGAGTTGAAGCCCGGTGAAATTCATAAATAGCTAAGAAATTGATTAAATTCAGAGTCTGAGAATAGTCTTCCGACCCTCTGAATGGAATGTGGCATGCGCTTGTTTATCTGATTGTGGTGAGCATTAAAGTCTGGGAGCTGGTATGATCGCGATAGAATGTTCCACCCATTTCTTTCTCCAAATACGAGTAAATAGAACAAAATAAAATCCAAATAAAGGGACGAGTGAGCACAAAATCACCTTCACCGAAGAAGTTGACGACGAAATTTGCCGCAACCGTAGAAGTAAGAGGATAGAGTAGACGCGGCGAGAATCCGAGAAATATAATTGGCTGGCAGGAAAACTAGCGAATCGGAGGGGAGCGGTGGCGGAGGAAATCCTTTTGACCTTTTCTTTTAGAAATAAACGATTTCGGTTGACACTTGTAATAATTATTTAAAATATAAAAATTTCAGTTTTGACACAAAATAAATACAATATATAATTTAAATTTTCATTTCATGTCTACGGCCTGTTTGTACCATATTTATTGCCTATTTTAATGGAAAAATTGACCGCCGGCTCTAATCACCTACTGACAACCAACCTGCTAATTTATTGTACTTCTATGACAAATAGATCTTTACTTTCCCCATTTGCCCTTCTGCTGTGTCTTAAAATAAAGACAATTTTCACGTGAAGAGAGATGTTTCGACCCGAGCAACGTCAAAGAGGAAGAACACTTCGGCGATTCTCTTGCTTTTCAAACCCTCAACATTCGGCGACCGTCATTCTGTAGCGCACCATCTTCTCTACACCGTGACTGTGACATATCACGGTAGATTTGGCTTGTGCTATATCCTCCACCAGCACTTTTGCAATTTGTCAATCGTGAAATCGCACCACGCCGTCCCCAATTCTCGCTCATTTCGCTTGGGTTACAGGTGCTAATCCCACGCCAACGCTGTTACCGTTTCCATTTCGAGGCTATGTTCAACCCCATGGATCTATATTCCATTTAGGTGAGCCTATGATTTTTCCTGATTTAGGTTCTGCTATCACATTTTCCTCTTTTCACCACCTCATTCTTGCTTCTTGCAGATAGGCTACGGCCCTCAACCTGGGTCCTCCGCTGCACCCGAATCCGCTGTCGAGGAAGGGTCCAAGAAAAATACGAGATGGAAGCCGACCGAGAGGATAACATTCATTGCCTCTTGTGAAACCACCATTGCCAAATGCCATCGGCATGGAAGGTGTTTCACGAAGCATGGCTTGGAGCGCGTCATTGCGTTATTCAATTCATCATCCTGCCACAACTGGACCAAACAACAGCTACGCAATCGTTAGGATGTAATGCGTCGCGAGTGGAAGCGTCTCTCCAAACTTCTGTCCAGTAGCGAGATCGAATACGATCCATCGACGGGCCGAGTTGTAACATCAAAGGAATGGTGGGCAAGAAAAATTAGGGTAAGTCTCTGGCTTGTTGCTAAGCAGCATGTTTTACATTCAATTTTACAGCATGAAGTAGTGAAATCAATTTACCGTTATTCTACCGACATTTTTTGACATTTGGAGATTTCTTCGCACACATTACACATTATTTCCTTATGTTGTTTTCCATGCTGTGAACATGTCTCCGGAACGAATATATTGCGTGCATTTGCTTTGACCAACATGCTTTGTATTTGTGTTGTGAACTTCCGTTGATTATAGCCTACCTGATTAGACGGTGACATTAGTTGTTCTGGGCGCTTTTCGTATTAACTTGCTAAGCTGCATTCCCATGTTCGCAATAAACATACACACTTGACAACTTCGACGCTAAGGTCTTACATTTTACATTGGATGCACGTCTTCCACATTCACATTTATATGGCGACCACACTGCTAGATACACAATCTCACTACATTATGTTGTCCACCCATGGTTGCAGAAGAACAAAGATACAAGGATGTCAAAGATAAAGACATGAGCGAGATCTACATTCGCTATCATCAACTATATAGAGAAAGCTACGACGGTGACAAGCACACGATGACACCAACGAAGTTATGCAGGACTAGGTTCAATTTGTTTGGGGACAGTGCGGCGGAGGACCACTTGGATGCAATCCCCGTCAACGGAGAGGGTAATGGTTCTAGCGATGGGAGGGACATTAGAACAGGTACAACAAGCATGAGCACTTCCAACGCTAAAAGTGGTGAGAAACGACAGCTGTCCATGATGGGGCGAAAGGGAAAGCACAAAAAAATTTCAGCTCGTGACTTGTTCTCACTAGACCGAGCAACAAGTGTAATCGAGGAAATGGCGGTGAAGATCAGTAACATTATCAATCCAACAAGCAATGTCGGGGCTGATTGTGTGGAGGAGTTGTTTGCGACGAGACAGCTCGAGCATCGCATACCTTTGTACTTCTACGCTTGCACTCTTCTGGCACAGAAGCGCTACCCAGATATGCTCGCTATCATGAAAGATGCAGATGAAAATTTTGAATAGATTGAGTGGCAATTTAATGAGCGTGGCGAATCGCTTCACTGGAATCTTTCCGTGCATTGCATACCTATGTAATAGTGGTGTCCCCATCCCCCTGAACATTTTCTTTTTCCTGTAACTTGACCCCGCTTTTTGTGCACAGGTTGGCCACTTATGTATAAGTTTTATTGTAGTTATATTATTATTAACCACATGTTGCTTACTAGTACATTTGAGTAGGACATGTTCACTAGTAGGTTTGTGCATCAACTTTAGGAAATCTTGCTGTACTTGTCACTGCTGTAAGATTCTCTCCAGTCAATCAATGGCTACACATATCTTTTCGTGCACTTCTCTCCTCTATATAAACGGGCTTCTCTGTTGGTGAAGTAAGAAACGTGTAGGGAGAAATGTGTACTACTTGTGTTAGGCCATAGACGATCTGAACTTCGATTGTATGCTACTTTTGATCTTTGACGCGAAGGAAGAGTCCGAAGAGGAGGAGTTGTTAGAACGTCTTGCAGACCAACACGATAGCGTGGCTCACCTTTTGCATCGTCGTGGGACCGATGCGAGGAAGTACTATCGCACACGGCATAATGGTGTTCGAAGATTCCTATTTGCAAAAATGGCCACATGTTCATGATGGAGGCTATGAGTGGGAACGGACAGATGTGCCATCAGGAGTTTCGAATGTACCCACCGATGCTACAACACTTTGCACATACCCTAGGAGACGAATATGGCTTAACTAGTAGCCAACAAGTGGATATCTATGAGAAAGTTGGTATCTTCTTATGCATACTTGTACATGGAAAGGGATACCGACAGGTGATAACAATCTTCAATCACTCTTTGCATACCGTTTGTCAGTTCTTCAAAGAGGTGGTACCGTCGTTGCGCTCTCACAACGTGTGATATGACCTACTCCAAATTACAATGATGACGTGGAGCCGCACAAGCCAGACCCGAACAAGCATCCACTCTTTCAGTATTGCATCGAGGCTATTGACGGTACACATGTGAAAGTTGTACTACCACGAGACGAGCGTATGACTTCATAGGTCGAAAAGGAGTACTGACCTAAAATGTGTTGGCCGCATGTGACTTACCGGGAATACGCATGACGCTTGAATTCTAGCTCGTACTATCTACAGTCCTGAAATAAATTTTCCACAACTAGCACTCGACTAATATTATTTGGTGGACTCCAATTTTGAGCATCGACCTAGATATATGGCCCTGTACAAGGGTTTAGATATACTGTATCACTTTTAACAGTTTCGCAACGAACGAACAGGTCAACACTGTAAGTTTCAAAATGCGCGTCAGAGGTTCAACTTCATACTCTTCCTGTAAGAACGTGCATTTGGTGTGTTGAAGCAGAGATAGAAAATCCTTGGTCATATGCCCAGCTACTGTTTTTCAACACAAATTGAATTTGTCATAGCCACAATGGGTATTCGTAACTTTCTACGTCGTGCCAGAGTTGTTGACGAGGCATTCACAAGAGCGAAAATGGACGACGAGGTAGCCAAGGTAGAGCTGTCTAATGCTGAGGATGAAATTTAGACTGAAATAAATGTGCTAGAGATTCAACGAAGCGAGTGAGACAATCTTCATAATTACATGGCACGACAGCCATGATGGTCGCTCTTAGGAATAGAACGTCGGCCTCATGTGTAGTGGTATAAATTGAATTTGCAAGTTCGTTGCATTGTATTTGTCCTAGTCGATGTAATATTTTTACGTATTTGATTATGTACGTATATGGAACGTTGAATAATTGCACTTTTATGTTTGCATCATGTCTTGGGAACTTGGGGAACAAAATGTCATGCCTATTGATCTTTTTTTTTTCCAGTCCTATAATTTTCGTATTGGGTGTTGTTGTAGTAATTATTTTAAACGTGGGACTGGTCATGGAAAACATTGTGAGGGGGCACACATTTGAGCACCATGTGAAATTAATAGACTTACCTACCATGGAAAATAGAGGTCATACGTTGAGTAATTACAAATGGTGCAGCCTTTGACTAATCTTGGGTACTAATTGCAATTTGGTCTCATGTTGCTGACAATTTCAAGGACGAGGGGCCAAATGGGAAATTCCATATTTATTAGCAACTTCAATTGTCAGCGAGTTCACTGCGCTTGGGCCCACAATGTTGGATGTAACGGTCATTTTTCCATTAAAATGCGGGGCAATGTGGCACAAAGATGGGCCTAAACTTATTATTATATGAACTAATTTTATACATAATGTTCACTTTGTTATTTTATATAAAATCCATAATCAAGTATTTTGTTACATTTTAAATCGGGTTACTTTCACAAACGATCACTGAACTCACGCGAAAACTACAAAACGGTTATTGAAGTTTAAAATTTTCAGTAATGGTCACTTAAGTTTCAGAAGCGCTTTCAGAAACGGTCACTGAAGTTTAAAAACTTTCAAAAAAGGTCATTAAAGTTTAAAAACTTGCAGAAACATTCACTGAAGTTTAAAAACATTTTTGTTTTTGTTTTTTGGGCTACTTTTGCGGCAACGTTTTGGCCGCTTCTGACTGTCAATACCGCTAAATTTTGATATCGTTGGAAAACCCACAATGTCCTCTTCTATTACCATCCAAAACCTCCTTGTAACTCCAAAGGATTCAACTGAAAAATTGTCGCAAAATTCACCCAAAAAATTTAAAAATCTGGGCAAATTTTCATATTTCTTGGGCGACTTTTGCGATGACTTCCAACCACTAAGACTGCTGGATTTCGATATCGTTAGAAAGCCCACAATGCCCTCTTCAATTACCATCCAAAATCTTCCCCAAACTCTAAAGGATTCTGCTGAAATAACCCACAAAATGGGCTACCCAAAAAGGCAAAATTTGGGCTACTTTTGAGGCATCTTTTCGGTAACTTCCAGCCACCAATACCACGGAATTTTGATACCATTGGGAAGCCCAAA